AACATGGGGCCATCCCGTTTAAAATTAAGTGGGACGGGACGGGACGGGACGCGGGACGGGACGGGACATCCCGTCCCGTTGGACAGCCATAATGATAGTTGGGGATTTTAATGCAGTATTATACTCCAATGACAGGTTATCTATTAACCGTAAGCTACTCAGAAATCCAAGATTTTGCTGCCTGCCTTCAACACACTGCATTAACAGAATTACCTTGGAAAGGTGACTACTATACATGGTCTAACAAGCAACCTGGAACTGATAAGGTCACCAGTAGATTGGATAGAGTATTTGGCAATTATAATTGGATGGTGTCCTGGGGTCATCTGGGCAAGTTTGAAAGATCTGAAACCTGCTTTGAAAGCTTAGAACTCCAAGGAATTTAGGGGCATTACTCAGAAAATTGAGAAGGCCAGAATAGAGCTGAGTAACATTCAAGAGAAAATCTCACAGGGTTGCACTGATGATTTACTTGATATGGAGAAAAAAGTCCTACTAAACCTTGAGAAGTGGTCCTTAATTAAAGAGAGTGTCCTTCAGCAGAAAGCTAGAGCAAAATGGATACAACTTGGAGATTCAAACTCTAAGTACTTTACAACAGTGATGAAGGATAGAACTCAAAAGAAACAAAATCACAAAAATTACAACTTTGCTAGGAGACAAAGGTGACTGACCCTGATGTTATCAAAAGAGAGATTGTTGATTTCTATAAGAGCTTAATGGGAACAACTGCTACTACTTTGCCTGCCATCAACAGAATGCACATGAAGAATGGTCCTATACTATCTTACCAACAAAGGGTTTATCTATGTGCAGAAGTAACTAGTCAAGAGATTGCTGAGAGCCTCAAAGTAATTGGTGATGATAAAGCTCCAGGTATTGATGGCTTTAATGAAGTTTTCTTCAAGAAAGCATGGGACATCATCAAAATTCAGGTCATAGATGCTGTGAAGGAATTCTTCTTGACTGGGAAACTTTATAAGGCTATAAATTGTACTACTGTTATATTGGTTCCTAAAGTGAGAAAACCCACCACAGTCAGAAAGTACAGACCAATAGTTTGTTGTCCAATCCTATATAAGATGATTTCTAAAATCTTGGCTTCCAGATTGCAGAAAGTCGTGCCTTGCATCATATATGAGACTCAAGCAGGCTTCATCCCTGGTAGAAAGATTGTTGATAATGTCATACTAGCTCATGAGCTAGTCAAATCTTACACTAGGGCCCAGATATCACCTAGATATATGATAAAGATTGATCTCCAAAAAGCTTATGATTCATAGAATGGATCTTCTTACAACAGGTGATGGAGGAGCTTAGATTCCCTGATAGGCTTATCGGATGGATAATGGAATATATTAAGACTGTCAACTATACTATTCTTATGAATGGAGAAACTACATAACCCTTCAATGCTGCTAAGGGTCTTCGACAGGGAGATCCTACCTCCATTTTTCTCTTTGTAATAGTGATGGGGTATTTGAGTAGGTCATTGCATGAACTTCAGAAGGAGCCCAACTTCCAATATCATCCCAGATGTAGGAAGCTTGGCATTACTCACATGAGTTTTGCTGATGATCTCTTGTTATTTACTAAGGGTAATCTATCCTCAATGGCCACACTATATAGAAGTTTTTCTCAATTCTCTAAGGCATCAGGATTGCAGGCTAATCTAGGAAAAAGCTCAGTATACTTTGGTGGGGTGAAGCAGCATATAAAGGTTCAGATATTGACACACCTGGGTTTTAAAAGTGGTACATTACCCTTCAGGTGCCTAGGCATCCCTTTGTCTATAAAGAAGATAGCTCCCATACAGTGGCAACCATTGATTGAAAAGATCACAGCCAAGATCTCTTCCTGGACTACTAAAAAGCTTTCTTACGCTGGTCGTGTACGGCTGGTTCAATCTGTAATCTTTGGCATTCAAGCATACTGGGCTCAATTGTTTATTCTACCTGCTAAGGTACGGAAAATGATAGAAGCACTCTGTAGAAGCTACATTTGGTCTGGAACTAACACAATAACCAGGAAGTCCTTAGTAGCATGGGAAAAGATCTATACTCTCAATTCAGTTGGTGGACTTAATCTCATTAATCTCCCTTTGTGGAACAAAGCAGCAATTGCCAAAACTTGTTGAGACTTGGCACACAACCAAGACAAGCTATGGATAAGGTGGATCAATGCTTATTACATCAAACAACAACAGCTACAACAGATGCCAATACCACAGCAAGCCAGTTGGATGGTGAGACGAATAATTGGAGATAGAGCAACTCTGCTGCAGACACAGAGTATAAATGATAACAGCGAAAGCATTATTAGACAAATATACATGCAGCTTCTAGGTGATGTGCCAAGAGTAAGCTGGAAATGCCTGATTTTCCAGAATACTGCTAGGCCAAAAGCAGTCTTCACATTGTGGCTATTGCTTCATGGACGATTGCCAACTAAAGATAGACTAGCCAGTTGGGGTATAACTCTTACCCCTCAATGTGTTATGTGTTATGTGTCAAGAGCAGGATGAATCAAGGGAGCACATCTTTGTTACATGCTCATACATTAGAGAACTAGGGAAGAAAGTAATGGCTTGGATTCAGAGATCATATATGCCTATCACTTGCTGGGACCAACATCTTCAGTAGATCATCAAGCAGGGAAAAGGGAAATCCAAGAAGGCTAGCATCTTCAAAACGATCTATGCCGAGATTTCGCAAGCAATATGGATTGAAAGAAACACACGTATATTTGAGCAAAGGTTACGAGGGAGTGATGTCCTTGTGCGGGAGATAGCTTACATATGCAATGTTAGAGTTGCTACTCGAGCTAAGAGCTACATTCAACAGTTTTGGTTAGGAACAAAGTAGATTCATTAGTTTGTCTGTAAATAGGTATCTTTTGTTTATCCTTCAGCTTTGAGATAGTCAGCTGAGTTAGCATGACTATGGTTTGTACAGTTTCTCTTTGGTGATTAATACAAAAAAGAAAGTTAAATACCAAAAAAAAATATGATAGTGAGAATTACACTATAATTACATTTTGACAAACAAATTGATCATCGTAATTATTATACGTATGTAATTACTAAAGTGTGCAATTACTACCGTAGTAATTACACGGCTAGATAACTGCACGTGACTTTCCAAGCAGACCCTAAGAAAAGATCGACTAGTCCGGATCCCCACACCCCCAGCCCTCGCCTAACCCCTACTATTACTCATTTACTCACTCGCGCCTAACTCCTACTATTACTCGTTGACTCACTAACTCATACGCCTAACCTAATGAATTATTACTTATAATAGGGAGTTCAAGTTCATATGGATGGTTTAAAAAATATTCATACAACTAAATCACTTATAAAATAAATTGTAAAGATAAACATAATTAATAATTTCATTATCATCACATTTTAAAATTTATCATACTGAACAAATTAGCTCACTATAATAGGATTAACACTTACTATAAATATTCTTTGTGGACACTGAAAGAGAGATCAAAAGAGATGATCAAATCCAGTGGAACTGTACCACTACCAAAGTTAAAAGATCAAGATGGTTATGGATTTAGAACTCCAACTTCATTGGAATACAAAATTCCAGAGATGAAAAAATGTCCTCTACCACCCAAGAAAACCAGACCAACAAGTACAAAAAGAAAAGCTACAGTTTCACCTAAAAAACAGCGAATTCTTCAGGTTGATTTCGAATCAATTTTCACCACCACGATTCAGGATCATTTGGATATGCAAATCAAGAAATCGAGAAAAATGGATTGCGAATGCTGAATTTTATATGTATTTTATACTAGAGGTGAGAATAATTAGAATTTTTTGTGCAAAAACGATCTTTAACTACTTGCTATTATTGTTTTACTTCTCTATCTGGATATGCTGGTATATAACCTAATTTTAGACATGCAAAACACGATTTCATTTCATAATTCATATGGGTTTTTTCTTTGCTCTTGATTATTTAATTTTCTTTTCGACCCCAAGAAAACATTTTTCTACGTTGAAATTGTGAGTGCTAATGGACTTTCTTTCGTTTACAACAGACTATTAGTTTACATTTTCCTTCGCTCAAAGAGTTACTGTTATTTAGTATATATAGGATTTTTAATTTTATTATTTAATATATCAATCAAAAAAGTGAAACGAGTTTCATTAAATGGAGCTCAAATATACAGGTTACCTCACCATGCAAAATAAATGGACAAGAAAAATGAAGGAATGAAGGTCATAGTCATTATAGTTGTATTTGAACTTTATATAGTTGTGCTTGAACAGCTAGCAATATGAGCTTTTGTTTACTTTCTAAAACTCAATCATCTTATATTCTAAACCCATTGGCCTGATTAATATAAATTTGCACTAAAGCGTTTCTCGAGATCTGGTTAACGATAGAGGAATTCTAATCTTATCCAAATAAAAATTAAAATATAAGGATCTCAATCATCCCACCGCATCTTTGGTGATAGGCTGGTATAAGCATAAAGTCCTCCAAACATGGAAATAGTTACTAACACTTGGTAATTTATCAGCACAAGGATCGATATTTCATAAAAGAAGGTACAACAGCAGATAACAAAGGATAGAAAATGGGCCTCAAGAGATGAGGCAACAAGTACATACTCATCGCGCATAAGTAGTTAATTTGTGGCATCTATAATAAACATAAACCATTAACCTTAAAAGGAAAGAAAATCCTCGAGGAAAAATACAAGAGAAAGCAGAAGATAAAAAGACTTGGCAAATAACAGAAACAGAGTTGCTAAGATGCAAATCAAATCAATAACTAGTAACAAAAACAAAAACCAAGAATGCAAAGGATATGTGAACTTAAAGTCAATTCACAATAGCTTGACGCACATATTTATCTGGAAAAAGAAATATTACCCAATTAAGTAGAAAGACGATCGCTCGCTAAAGATCATCATCATGTACCTCCTTGCAGTATCCACAATTCCACAATTGACAAAAATTTGAACTCCAATGCAAAAGTTCCTAAAATCTATACATATTTAAACTGAACCTCCACATGCGAATATTTCCCCATAAACTTAACAATAAAGGATGTGAAGTTCGCTAAGACATCACATTCTTCTTGTGTGTTGATTCGCGACACAGCCCCATGAATGACCAACTTCCTCAAATTAGGGCACCTTTCCAGTAGTTCCACTACCCAATGTGAGAATAGGTCAGTAATCACTTCCCAGCCAAGCTCCAATACAACCACATTTTCCAGTTGAGAATAACCAAGCAAACCACACTGAAGTGAATCTCTGAGTTCATAGGTCAAGGATAAATGACTTAATTGAGAAAAGCAAGCAGAAGTAGAGTCAATATCCACAGCTTCAACTTCATCTTCAAACATAACATCACATAGACTCATCCTTCTTACTTTTGATAATTTTGATATCATATGATGGAAATTGGACCGCCATGTTGTGGAGTTGCTTACCTCCACAATTTCAAGATTCTCAGCATTCTCACCAATATCAAGAGGGAAGCTATAGACGTCATCCATTTCAAGGAGTCTCAACGTCCCTTTGCTCAGAAGCTTAAAGATCCCAAGGTCACAATCTTTTATTTGCAGTTTCTCAAGGCTATCAGTATCCAAGATGATTTCATTCAAATGATCCAAATGAATGCCTTGAACGTGGATATCTTTCAAAGAGTTACTATGAAGTTTCATTGTGCCCCATGGACCATCAAAATCCAGACAAACAAGATTTAAGACCTCAACTTTGGGGCAGGCAGTGACCAAACGACTCAGGTCCAAAGCTGATATGGTGACATGATCCAGTGAAAGAGACCTCAAGCAAGAAAATTTTTGGTAACTAAATTCAACTCTGGATATGGTTATCTCTGCCAGATCCAACAGTTCCAACCTCTGGTGACCACATTTTTCAAGTATATTAAGGTTTGGGGTATTCACACTAAAATGCAATTGGCGTAAGGTTTCTCTTGTATACAATAGCCAAGCAATCACCGGAGCAGCAGAGAGCACAACATCTTTTTTCATGGTTATTGAAAGACATTGCAGTGCATTGGTTTGGAAAATTGTCTGAGTTATAATTACTTCAAATCTGCGTGTCATGTGCTCATCACAAACAGGCCAGTCATCCGAATTAAATGTAAGCTTATGAAGATGATTCCTCCAAGCCTCTCGCCACTTCCGGCATGTAAAAGATGCAATTACAACATCTCGTGCATCTTCAAGCCGTGACAATATGTTGTCAATTACCTCGACAGGAAAGAACTCCATAACCTCCTAGTAAAACAACAAGATGGAAAGGATTCCCAGAAAATAAAGATGCTATAACCCAAAATATCCACTTACGGCACTGAAATCTCCAGTTTCAGTCACAATTTTATCCAGGCTATGGGATGATTATCAAGCAATCTGAAGTCCACCATCCAGCCATGAAGGGAAATATGTTCATAAACTAATTGAACTACAAAAATAAAACCTCACATCACACTGTTCAAGCAGAGATTGACAAACAAGCCAACAGTGGACCAGCAAAAGGAAAATCTACTGAAACAGATTCCTTGCTTGCAACTTAAAATCCACATCGAAGAGCTCTTTTCTTAAGAGGATAAGAAAGGAAGGTTTGGCTTCAGAAGCAACTATCTCAATAATACCTCCATCATATCCTGATCCTGGAACCACAATAACACATCAGAATAAATAACTGAATCAAGATACTCACATTTACAGAGATTTAGAAGGATGAAATGGAGAACAAAATTCAAGAACTTAGCTAAGTTATCTCAAATTTGAGGATTATGATCGCAACCACGAACAACAAAATAATCCATCAGATAAATAGTAATGAGTCATATTTTTTAGTATGATTAGTTTGAATTGGGTTATGCCAGAATCTAGTATGGATATGGTGAAATGCTAGAACAAAGTAAAGAGGTAATGTAAGGCAAAAGAAGTGGAAATTTATGCCAGCTTGCATATGGTGGACTGTATGGACAGAGAAATGCAAGGTGTTTTGAAGATATCAGCAGTCCTATACATAGAATTGAGTCAAAGTCTATTTTGTCCTTGTACTCATGGTGCAAAGAAAATTATGTAGAGGATGTTGAATCTTAAGTTGACTTTCTAGGATCATCGTAAAGAGTTATAAGTGGTTCTTGTAAGATGAACACGATTCTGTTTAGTTGAACTATAAAGGGTGGTCAACATTTCTTTAATGCTGATGAATACGCTGTTACCATTTTCAACAAAACAAAAATAAAGGAAATATCAAGTTCATTCTTCTATTAAAAGAACCTTCAATCATCGAGCTCAAGTGAGTGAGGGACAAGCAAACATATCCAGATGATTATAAGATCAACAACAACAACAACCCAGTGTAATCCCACAAGTAGAGTCTGGGGAGGGTAGGAAGTACGCAGCCTTACCCCTAACCTGGAAGGGCAGAGAGATTGTTTCCGATAAACCCTCGGCTAAAGAAGATGAAAGAAGCCCTGATAGCAAGTAATAGCAAGACAATATAATTGGAAAACTAAATCGAAGATAGCAATAGAGAAGATGACTATAAGATCATTTCAACAAAAGCATAAGCAACTATGCCACGGATTCTAGCGACCTATATGGAAAACCATACCCCTCTATCTGCAAAAGAAGTAACAACATATTTGAATGGATCTACTCCGCAATAGGGAAATCACAGTCCTAATAAGCCCCCATGGCTTTGTTCAAGTGGCAAAGGTTGAGGGACTTGTGACTTAGGTCACAAGTTCGAGCCCTGCACCATGCGAACTAAACTTGGTATTTAAGGGGAGAATAGTAGAGCATGGACCCACTATGCCCGAGTTTCGAACGCTGCTATTGGTCAAGGGTTGCCCCCAAACGGATTTCTCGGTCATAAAAAAAACTCCTAACAATCTTATATCAACAAAAATTAATTAATTTTAAGAAAGATGCTTACCACTCGTCGATCAAAAGATGGACAATGGATAAGCAAATTTGCAGCCCACTGGCCCTAGCCTCTTAGACATGAAGAATTTTCTACTTCCTTTTTGTTCTGGTAAAATTGAGTTTTTTACTTATCCAAAAATGATACTACCTATGTTCCAGTTTATGTGAATCTATTTCCTTTTTGGTCTGTTCCAGAAAGAATGACCCCTTTCTAAATTTTGAACAATTTAGCTTAAACTTCCAATTCTACCCTTAATGAGAAAGTTTTTATAACCACACAAATATTGTAGACACTTTTTGACTTGTTTAGGACCACAAATTCTAAAAGTTAACATTTTTTCTTAAACTCCGTACTCAGTCAAACAGGTTCACATAAATTGGAACGAAGGGAGTAATAATAAAAGGACGCCGGCTTTTGGGATCTGAAAATTAAATTTATTGTTATAGACATCTGATTATCTCAAAGATATATTTCCTGAAAATGCCTAAATAAGTTACAGCATAAAGCTGGAAGCTAGAATAAGCAAAGAAGCTAATTACTTCATCAGATTCACACTATCAGAGTATCAGTGTATATTGTTTCAGAACAAGTGCACGTAATGAACAACAAATCAGTACTACTACAGAGAAGCCTTTTCGGAGGAGGAAACAAGCACGCGAGAACATACCTTCCGGCGCTACCGATTGGCGTCGGAAAAGAGGAGCAATCCGAGACGGTCATCGATTCTCCGTCCACGGAGAAACAGAGTTAGTTGGTTGGCTGAGTCTAGGGTTTCATTGTTTGATTTCGTTCGGCTTTTGTTTCATAGCTTTAGCGCGAAACCCAAACCCAAGGAACTTTATAGTTTGTTTGGATGGTTGTTGTAGTCGGACTCTCTAACTTTAAATAAAATATTTATTTTGATTGTTAATTAAATTATATTGTAAAATACGTAATTAATTAATGACGAAGCGTACAACTTTACGTAACAACATATTTGATATGGTGGTATTGTTACCTTACTTTTTTTTTTATTTTGTCCTTTTTTATTATTAAATAAATATATTTTTATCTTTTATCTTACTTTTTTATATAATAATTCTATTTCGCATCCTTTTTTTTTTTTAGTAATGTTATAAATTTATTCTTTATATTTTTTTGTGTATGACATCATAAAATGATAAAAAATGATATAATTTATTCAAATATTATATTTATCAAATAATACAACACAATACAATACAATATAATACAATACAATATAAAACAACACGTAACAACAATCCAAACAAGTTGTTAGCACCCAAAGACGAGAAAAAGAAAAACGCCGAGACGACCGTTAAAGGATTTTTTTATTTCCTTTTTCTTTAACCCTTCGGCCTCCACTATACTCGTTTTTCTTTTGTCATTAATAAATAGTCTCATATTTATCCTTGATTTTAACTCTTCGTGAACCAAGTGAAATCTAATATCAAAAGACTCCGGAAAAAAATAAAAATTACCTTTGTTCTTACCTATGATTTAAAATTATCATTCGTCGTACTTCAGATTGGAACTTGGAGTCAAAAATAAATATAAAATGATTTTCTATCAATAAGGGCTCATTTGGTAAGAGGGTTAAATTTGAGATGAGTTTATCCCACGTTTGGTTGGGCACGGATGTCACGGCTCTGTATAATTCGTGTCCGACTGTTTGGTAATGCTCTCCAAAGTTGAGGGATTCGAACCGGGCCCGAGAGATGTGGCCCCGATGCTTCCGAGGATAAATGTTTTGCTCGATTCCCGATGCGAGAGGTTTTTCGCCCAGACTCTGATTCCTTATGATCACGTTCCAGTCCCGTATGTCTTACCGGGAAACCAAGATGTTCAATGGGCCCAATTTTACCCATATACAGATAGTCCCCTCATTTCTTAGAGAGGAGGTTTACCGAAACGATGAGAAACGACAGATGATTTTCACCTCCTTCTTTAATACGTCGCAACAGAAACGACAAAGAAGCTGAAACGTCCCGTCAATCGAGCTGTTCTGACTTCGAATACGTGTCAGCCATCTGCAGGTCACCTCTGAATGCGAAGCATCATGAAACCTCTATAAAAGCGTTCATTTTTCGTTAATTTTTCACTATTTGACCAAGCTTCTACCTTCGATTCTTAAAGTTGTTACTCACCTTCTTCATACTTCCATATCTTTACCTCCATTCTTCAAAATTTCTCACTAATTTTAGGGTTTTTACCTAGTCTTTACCCAAATCAGTACACTTGACTCTTCATTTTTCAAAACCTTTTCTTAGACCTTTCAAGCCTTTTCAGTTAACACTAGCTAAAACATACAAATATGTTCCTCAACAAGTCGCTTCTTCTTCTTCCCAACCGACCGCTGAAACCGAGGCGGTCATTCTTGATATAGTCGTCCTCGAGACATCTGCTCCTAGCACAGCTACCGATGAATCGGCTCCCGAGCCTCCCTTAAAAATGTTCATCCCCTGGGCTGCTCACGCAGATAACTTTAAGGTCGAAAAGCCCTCATCGATGCAGGGCTAGGGTGAAGGAGTATCAAGGTATATATGCTCTGTTACCGAATACGTCCTTCCCGTGGTCCGAGGGGACTGCAATTGGGAGGGTAAGGACGTAGTACTCCCCGAGCTTGAGGATGCCATCACTACCCATGTGGAGGGGTATCTAAGTGTTTACATTTATCCCTTCACATTTGGCCCGATGGACCCGGTTATCTTGGACTTCCGCAAGAGGTATGAAGTATGCCTCGGTTAGATCCACCCATCGTTGTGGAGGATCGTGATCCTCCTTCGTTACTTCGTGAACAAGATTGAATCATGTCGGTTCACCATCGATCACCTACTCTACTTATACAGTCTCTGAATCTTCTGAGGGGGGCTAATAAAGCTCACACGTCGGGCCAACAAAGCCCCATTCTCGAGTATCTATGAGGACCGAGACCGATGCTGGTAGGGACGCTTCGTTCGGGTGAAGACCGAAGACTTGATTCCCCCCGAGTTTATACCATTCCCTGAGAAGTGGAATACATCTCGTAAGTACAGTTTCCCTTTGAACGCCAATTTTACGTTCATCTCCTTTTTTCTCACTGGTACTTGTGGTGGTACAGTCGTCGCTCGAGTCCCAAATGCTATCCCTCGGCTCAAGGAGTGGATCGAGGGAATTTATTCATAGATGCCTTATTCGGAGCGCATATAGCATAAACTCTCGAGGGGCCGGTGGGAGGCCCGTTCTCACGGTAAGACCCTTCCCCGAATAGGTAACATCGGGCTCTCCTATTCGCATCGTACTTACTCTCTTTCCTCCACTTTTCTTTTTGAAGGTTTGCCTAAGACTATTGAACTCAGACCTTCGGGAGGGAACGAGGATGTGTTCTTCTCCGTTGACCCCTCCGCTTTGGGGCAGCTCGGGGCTACAGTGGGAGAAAGAAGAAAAGGAAGCCTTCGGGCTCCCCGAGTTTAGAGAAGAAGAAGCCAAAGAAAATGTTGGCCCGTAAGCCAAAGGAAAGTTATAGCTCCCAAGCACCTGACTCAGACTCGCTTCTTCGGCTCAGGGATGAGCCCGAGGAAGACGATTTTTTTGTGGCCCACAGGACGACTTCTCCTGAGGAGCAGGCAACTGTTGAGGAAGAGATCCATGAGGTCGATCTCCTTCAGACCCAGGAGGTTGATGAGGAGACCGGGGCTGTGACTTCATGGGATGCCAAATACGCTCCGAAGGAGGCGCCGGTGTAATAGAGATTTCAGGGTCACCTTCCTATACCGAATCCATGCTCGAGGAGGCCCGAGCAGGGAAGGAGAGGTCTAACGAAGGGGCTCATGGCATGGACGATCCCCTTCGTTCATTTTTTGACGGTGTGGACTCGTCCGTCTTGGAAGACTTTTCTGGGTTGGGCGACCTAAAAGTGCCGAGAAAGGATTCGTCTTCAGAAGTCAGCGGGTTGAACTCGAGCCTAAAGTTAATCAACCAGTTCCCCGCACCGAGTGAGGATCCCGGCCGTAAGAGGTCGATAATCATCACTATCCCGGAGGATTCCCGGGTCCTTTCTGCTCCCGTGGGAGTAGCGAGCCACCTTCGATGCCTGGTGACCGAAGAAGACCAAGCGAAAATGAATAAGTTAGACGTGTCGTGCCTGTTCAATGAAGCGCATCAGGCGCTGAATCTGGTAATGCATCAATATGCTCTTTCGAACTTTGACCTAATTTTGATATTTCTCATGTTTTTTTTTCTTTTTTAACCCTTTTGCAGGCCTTGGTACTTCATCACGAAAGCTTTCTTCGGTACTGGACCGAGGTTAACCAGCTCGAGCTTGAGGTTAAATTAGCTTGCCCAAAAAAAAAGTTATGTACAAGCTTCTCAACGAGCAACACGAAGGGGCCATCAAGGACCTACAGGCCGAGCTGGATAAGGCTCAGAAGAGACTTCGATCCCGAGGCGGGAACATGCCGATATGGTCAAAAAGTTAAAGGTTTTTGAAGTTAGAAATGAAGACTTAGCCATGGCAACTAACGACCAAACCTCGCAGATTTAGCATAAGATTGACCGGATCAACCAACTCTGAGCTAAAATAAATGAGGTCCAAGCCATGGCCGACGGTTGGAAGAGCAAAATGGACCGGTTGGCTCCGGAGAAGGAAACCGCCCAGGCACAGCTGGTCATTGATAGAGGTTCAACTCTGGGAAGTGAAAGAAAAGGCTGACAAGCGGTCCTAGTTGAATAATGAACTTCGATCACAATTGATCTCGGCTCTAGCAGAGCGGGACACCCTCGGTAACGAATGTGAAGCTATAAAGCCTCAGATACGCACAACCTCCGCCGATGCTGAAGAGATGGTGGCCCAGTATAGGGACGATGTCGAAGCAGCCAAAGCTCGCCTGAAGACTACTACTGAGTATGTGAGGCGACTATCCCGGAGAGAGACCCGAATAAGAGATCCATGCCCGAGGCTTAGACATGTCGGCCTAGATCGAGGAGGCGAAAAGACTTGAGGTCGAGGCCAAGAAGCTAGATGAACCCGAGATGAAGAAGGCTCCGAGGGCTCTGAAGAACCTGAAGTCTCCGACAGCTCTGGTGGCGAGTTGGGTTCTGGTGAAGATCAGGCATAGATGCCTTAGGATTATTTTGTTTTGTTTTTTGTATCTTGTACATATATTTTGTTGAGGCCATTTTTGTTGGGCCTTTGTAAAGATATTCGGGAATATAAAATATTTTCCTTTTGGAAATGTGCAAGCCTATTATCTTAGCATTTTTTTATGATTGCAGATATTTCTAATGCCTTAGCACAAAATCAAACGTAGTAATAAGTCGCTTTTCGGAGGTCTGAACAAGACCCGCCCTTGAAGAAACTCTGTGCTCGAACTTGTGTAAGCTCGGAGAGAACGAAAATTTCCCCAAGATGCTTATTTAAATATTTTTAGACTATATCTTTGTCGAGGGTAACCTTTGAATAAGTTTGGAATTTTGTTAGAGGCCTTATGTTTCGATTACGGGCTTCGGATGTCTCCGAATCATTTTTAGGGTGACCGTAGCCTTTTAAGTTTGGGCACTGCCTAATAGGTTTTGTACCTCTGGATTTCGATAACCTAAGCCACCCGAACTTTTCTCGAACGGTAGTCCCCGAGTGGGGGTAGCCCTTTGGGCTCGGATAAGGGTGGCCCTTGGGCTCGATAGTTCCCGGGTAGGAATAGCCCTTAGGCTCGATATGTTTAAGGAACAAAATATATTTGTTAGCAAGGTAGAAACTTTCTTTCATTTATGTGTGTAATGTACAAGATTGTAAGCGTGTAAAAGCTCGTATTATGGCTGAGGTTGCCTATGCGGGCATGGTTCATTTGAT